CTGCTTCCTGAACAAGTAAGAGGCCAAGAAGCTCTTATTCTCTGCTTATACTTTGCTGGTTGGTAGGAGGTTCGAGAAAATTTGGTGGAGATTTGAGGGGCTTCACTCAGTTTTTCATTGATGTCCTTTTTTCTTAGTTACTTCACTGATCATTCCACCTATGACCTCAGACAGAAGAAATTCATGTAACTGAAATACTTTGCGATTTCTTACTGAATTGTTTAGACACTGTTAATACATGTATGACTATATACATCTGGGCTTTTACCTGCCTATAGAAATCCACGATCACTTCTCCCACTTCCCTTATCAAATGTAGAAATATATTTAAATTAGGCCATTCTCAAATACTGAAGATACATAATATCAGTTAGTCAGGAAGCAATAATCCAACTTAGTGCTCAAATGCAATATGGGGAGTTAAACTCAAAAGTCCAAAAAGTCCAAGAAAATTTTTGAATGCTTTTAACTGTAGTTTCTGGATGTGCAATTCTAGCATAAGAAATACCACCTATTAGGTGGAACTAGATAGAAGTAGTGGCTCATAACATTGAAGATGTACTAATTGCCACTGAATTGTTCACTCCAAAAATGGTTAATTTTACATTAATTTGAGTGTAATTTAAAAAAGAAAAGCAGTACTTTCTGACCAAATGAGCTCTTTATAATTAGGAACTTCAATATAAAGACTGCATTTTCCATCTCCCTTTGCTTCATTATCTGCAAATAGAGACACATCAAAGCTATAGTTTCAAAGGCTGGGAGCTAACATTTCCCTTCTGCTCAATTGCATTTTCTTTTCCATTGAGCAAATATTGATTGTTTTCTTCTGGTTTTCATGTGCAGTCAGCTCTGCCTGGACTTGCCATTGAGAGTCTTTGGGATCTGAGTCTGATGGTATGCAAGCAGTTTTTCTGGTAGCCAACAGAACAGAGCAATTCAAGTGTTCTCGAATGAATGTGTGAGCACAGTATGCCCTGGCCCTTACTCTGTTGTGAGACGCTAGGAAATGTATGTGGGGATACCAGACTTTGTAGGGAGGTGGGAAGACGCTCCCTGGGCTGCTGTTCATGGGCTATCACTCATAGGAGCAGCTGAAAGGGAAAATACAGATCTCTACTCCACCCCCAAGTGGTTCTGTAACAAGTGGAAGCACATACCCTGTAAATGCCTTTATTATCCCAACCCACCCACCTGAGTAAGGCAGGCAGGACTGTTTGTCCCTTTCTAAACTTCTCTTTCATTTATTAAAATTGAGTCCCCATTATATACATATATTTTTTTTCTTTTTTTATTTTTGACAGGCAGAGTGGACAGTGAGAGAGAGAGACAGAGAGAAAGGTCTTCCTTTGCCACTGGTTCACCCTCCAATGGCCGCTGCGGCTGGTGTGCTGTGGCCGGCGCACTGCGCTGATCCGATGGCAGGAGCCAGGTACTTATCCTGGTCTCCCTGGGGTGCAGGGCCCAAGCACTTGGGCCATCCTCCACTGCACTCCCTGGCCACAGCAGAGAGCTGGCCTGGAAGAGGGGCAACTGGGACAGAATCCGGCGCCCCGACCGGGACTAGAACCCCGTGTGCTGGCGCTGCAAGGCGGAGGATTAGCCTAGTGAGCTGCAGCGCCGGCCCATATACATATATATTTATATATATAAATTCACACACATACACATGTTATATATACATATATATAAAACATATCATTTTTTCCTTACTTATACATGATCTCAACTAAAACTTAAAAGTATGTGAGATAGAGAGAGTCGATGAGGAGGACCCTAGGCCCACAGAATACAACTGACTGGGCCAAGACCACTTCTCTATGAAGACACGATAGTCCTCCCAGCATTTGGATATGGGACTTGTAATGCAATAGCCTTATTCTCTCTGCTTCATCAAGTTATTGTGCTGTCATTCAGACTTGGGCTGGAATTTATGCCAACAGTTTTTGGGGTTTCCAGTGCCCAGATTGTAGATCATGAGACTTAGCCTCCAAAATTATGGCAGCCAACACCCCATAATAAATTACATACCACAAACATACACACACACATTTGTGGAAAATGGAACCAAAATATGTTTATTTTGATGCAAAAAAATTTTGAAATCCATGTATACAAGATATTCTCAAAAGGTTTGTAGATAATATTATGGAAAACCTATGCATGGATATCTATTCATCTACCTATCTACCTACCTATGTACCTACTGACCTATCCTATTGGTTCTGTTACTCTGGAGAATTCTTATTATACAGGGAGTGATGAGAAAAATAATAACTTGAGAAATATTGATGACAAGTATCTAAAACATTATCTCTTGGAACTAAATAATGTCTACATTAAAAATGATCTAGAGGCCGGCACTGCAGCTCACTAGGCTAATCCTCCACCTGTGGCGCTGGCACACCGGGTTCTAGTCCCCGTCGGGGCACCGGATTCTGTCCCGATTGCCCCTCTTCCAGGCCAGCTCTCTGCTGTGGCCCGGGAGTGCAGGGGAGGATAGCCCAAATCTTTGGGCCCTGCACCCACATGGAAGACCAGGAGAAGGTGCCTGGCACCTGGCTCCTGGCTTCGGACCAGCGCGATGCACCGGCCGCAGTGCACCGGCTGCGGTGGCCATTGGAGGGTGAACCAACGGCAAAAGGAAGACCTTTCTCTCTGTCTCTCTCTCTCACTGTCCACTCTGCCTGTCAAAAAAATAAATAAATAAATAAAATAAATGATCTAGATAAGATCTTTAGAAAAGGTGCTTTTTTGGGAAATAACAGATGTAATGGTAATAGAATTAGAAAATTGCTTATCTTTCAATTATTAGTTATACTCTCTTATACTCAGAGTTGCCAAGTGTTTATGTTAACTCATACATTTAACACATACAGTTAAGTATTTTTTCATTTAAAAGCATTCAGTCAACCAAATACCCTTTATGGACTTGACAACATATAATGATTAGGTATTGACTGGCATCTGTCTATGGGAAAAAAATATCCATTTCCACAATTAGCACATATGTAACTTGTGTTTCACATGCCAAAAAAATGAGTCTCTGAAACAGGAGATATAAACCAAGAGATACTCTCATGTACAAAATACTTAACCTACAGTGTTCAGAACATTATGAGGTCAGGAGGAGGCAAAGCATTAGCAGCAGCCTTAGCCTTCTGCTCCACTTCTGAGTCTCAGCTTTCACCTTGGTTAATGGGGATAAAACCACCTTTGTATACTTATCTGGCCACACATCCATTCTGTTTACTGCGCGAAGCAAACAGTTACCATGGATGAAGCACTCTGTGCAATTCAGACCTGGAAATACAGATGGTACCAGTACTTAAACATACTTTACAGAGAAACAGACATACTTGGTCTACTCAAATATATACCTGCAGAGAGTGGAAATAAATACTGAGAAGTACAGTTGGATGGATAGAGAAAGGAATGAAACATTTCTTGATTAAAAAGACAAAGAAGATAGGAGGAACATGGTGGATGGCTCATTGTTCACAGGTGGTAGTAAGCAAGGAAATGTGTGGTCTGAAAGAGTCATGTATTCTCCAGGGGTGGAGAAAAAGAGGCTTAAAAGAATTGTACACACAATTATTCTTAGGTGTTTAAATTTTAACTGAAAAGTGATCCCTGTTAGGATTTTGGAAAACATTATGCTGAGTGAAATAAGCCAATCCCAAAGGGACAAATACCACTTGTTCTCCTTGATAGGTGACAACTAACTGAGCACCAAAAAGGAAACATGTTAAAATGAAATGAACACTATGAGAAACGGTGACTTGATCAGCCCTCACCCTGACTGCTGATGAGCAAATTGATATGTTATCCCTCTTAGTATTTGTTTTTGTTTGTTCTACTTAATACTTTTGGTTGAATACTGTAATCAATACACAATTCTTCTTAAGTGCTGAAACTTAACTGAAAAGTGATCACTGTTAAATATAAGAGTGGGAATAAGAGAGGGAAGAGATGTGCAATTTGGGACATACTCAAGCTGACTTACCTCAAACGGTAGAGTTAGAAACATACCAGGGGATTCCAATTCAATCCCATCAAGGTGGCATGTACCAATGCCATCTCACTAGTCCCAGTGATCAATTTCTGTTCACAATTGATCGTAATGATAGGACTAAGAACCAAAGGGATCACATAAACAAGAATAGTGTCTGCAAATACTAGCTGATAGAATCAAAAAGGGAGAGAACAATCCAACATGGGAAGTGAGATACACAGCAGACCCATAGAATGGCAGATGTCCTAAACAGCACTCTGGCCTCAGAATCAACCCTTAAGGCATGCGAATCTGGCTGAAAAGCCCATGAGAGTATTTCAGGCATGGAAAGCCAAGACACTCTGGGGGAAAAAAAAAAAAAAAAACCTAAATGAAAGATCTCTGCGAGTGAGATCCCAGTGGAAAGAATGGGTCATCAAAGAAGGAGGTACCTTTCTCTGAAGGGAGGAAAGAACTTCCACTTTGACCATGGCCTTGTCTAAAAATTATCAGAGTCAGTGAACTCAGGGGGCTTCCATAGCCTTGGCAGCTCATGACAAGAGCCTAGGGTGATTACTGATGCCATAAACAAGAGTGTCAATTTGTTAAGTCAACAACAGGAGTCACTGTGCACTTACTCCTCATGTAGGATCTCTGTCCTTAGTGTGCTATACATTGAGATTTAATGCTATAACTAGTACTCAAACAGTATTTTTCACTTTATGTTTCTGTGTGTGAGCAAACTGTTGAAATCTTTACTTAATGTATGCTAAACTGATCTTCTGTATATAAAGAGAAACGAAAATGAATCTTGATGTGAATGGAAGGGGAGAGGGAGTGGGAAAAGGGAGGGTTGCGGGTGGGAGGGACGTTATGGGGGGGGGGGAAGCCATTGTAATCCATATTCTGTACTTTGGAAATTTATATTCATTAAATAAAAGTTTTTAAAAAAAGATTTTCAAAAAAAATGGAAAATGTAAAAAAAAAAAAAAAAAAAAAAAAGAATTGTACCGGGCTAACCATGCTAGCTAGTTGGAACCAAAACAGATTATGGCATCACCTTACAGAGAACACAGGCAGAACTTTAGGGACGGCTGACAGTGGACATAAAAAACAGAAGCTTACTAAATTAAGAATTTACATTATCGCTGGCGTGATAATAACTATGTCTGTAAGAATTGTAAATTCAACTTCTCTAGGAAGGAAGACCATTCTTACTATGGACTGAATTGTGTCCCCACATCAAAAGTCGTATGTTAAAGCCCTACGCCCCCATGTGCCTGAACTGGAAGATGGGCCCTTTAAAGAGGTGACTGAGGTTTAAGAGGTAATAAGAGTATAGGCTTGATCTGATAGAACTAGTGCCCTTACAAGAAGAGGAAGAGGAAGCGACACCATAGCTCTCTCTCCACGTGAGGTCACAGTGAAAAGCTGGCCATCTCCAAGCCAGGAGGACAGCACTCACCAGAACCCAATCATGCTGAAGACTTCCTGCTTTCAGAACTGTAAGAAAGTAAATCTCTTATGTGTAAGTACTCAGACTGTGGGACTTTGTCATAGTAGCTCCAGATGACTAATGCATGCATAAAGATGAACAAAGTGAGTCAGATTTTGCCAACATAAGGTCTGGTGTGTTTGGCAATCATAGTAAAATAAGGATGTAAAGTTGTAAATTAAATGATTTAGTAATTTCATTTACCATAAAACAGGTTAATTAAATTGCTTCAATCAAGTTTCTCTAAGTGTTAATAATTCCTAATTTTTTTAAAGATCATGGTATAGCTTTACATTCTTTTGTGAAAATGACATTCATGGTTTAGTTATGGTTATTAAATTTTATATACTTAAATTCAGAGAAAAACATAAGTAAATGCCAAAGGTAGTTACCTGGTTTGGTTGGTTTATGCTGTATATATGTGTTGAAATACTATACTCTACCCCATAAAAATACACAAACATTACATGTTGATGAAAATGTTTAAAAGAAAACAATTAAAGAAAAAAATTTATATACTTAAGCACACTGCTGAACTACTTCTTGCAAGATGCTTTTATCTTTTTTATTTTTATTTGACAGAGTGGACAGTGAGAAAGAGAGACAGAGAGAAAGGTCTTCCTTTTCTATTGGTTCATTCCCCAATGGCCGCTGTGGCTGGCACGCTGCGGCTGGCACACCGCGCTGATCCAAAGCCAGGAGCCAGGTACTTCTCCTGGTCTCGCATGCAGGTGCAGGGCCCAAGGATTTGGGCCATCCTCCACTGCACTCCCGGGCCATCGCAGAGAGCTGGACAGGAAGAGGAGTGTCTGGGACGGGATCCGGCGCCCTGACCGGGACTAGAACCTGGGGTGCTGGTGCCGCAGACAGAGGATTAGCCTATTGAGCAGCGGCGCCAGCCAAGCAAGATGCTTTTATCTTTAAGGATGCTTTATTACCTGGAAATACTGAACACAGTCATTATTCTTTTTAAGCATCAGAACAAAGGAAGCTACCATAAGGGTGACAAGATTGGATCACAGAACCATAAGCAACTGAGCCAATTGAATGTCTGCAGTTAACTTGCATCAGGTCCAAAGTATGGACTGCAACCCTAAACCTGACAATCTGCCTTACAAAATTGAGAACTGTGAAATGTGTAAGGATTACAGAAATTCTTAAATGCTAGAGGGAGAATTCACCGGGAATGTGAATGCAGAGTAACAGGATTTTTGAGGGTGCCATGGGGAGGGTTTTGGACATATTAGAAACGGGAACTGTAAGTGTATTCAAATGGTGCTGTGCATGAACCAGTTAGAATTATGGATTGTAAGAAAATAGTTATATAGCTGGAAAAGTCATCTTGAAAGTCATCAAATATTCATTCAACAAATATTTTTTGATTTACTGAAGTGGTGACCAACTGTTTCAGGTTGCTTAGGACTGTCTCCATTTGAGCACTAAGAATATCAGGAATCCCTTCAGTCCCAGGCTGCTGGGATGGTCAGTCATGCTGACAAGACAATCATGGTCCCCACCCCCAGGTATCTGTACAGATTAGATGGTTCCATGGGAAACTGCAGGGCAGAAGGAGAGAATGGCTGAGGACCACCAGCATTTAGTGTGCCCACAGAAGAGGTGGAGGAAAGACAGTCACAGAAATCAAGAGAGAAGAGAATGATAACATTGAAAACACTGATGCAGAGCTGTTACACAGCAATGGAAAAATGGACGAATGGCATAAACAGGTAAGCCATATTAGAAAAAAAAATGACAGCAAGCATGAATGATACTAGTGCTCAACTTGCAACTGTAGAACTGCAAATAGAAACAAAAACGTGATAAGAATTTTTTTTTTTTATCAAGTTGAGAGAGGACAAGGAGGAGAATACCTAGTGGTTTCTGGGCAATAGGGAAATGGGCTTACAGACACACAGTACTGCTAAAAATGGGTATAACCTTGCTGAAAATGTAATTTGCCAGGAGGAATGAAATTCCACTGCTAGAAACTCATCTTATTATTTACATAAAGATTTCTATACAAGGGAGCTCAGTGATGTTTAGCTTATATCCTGGACTTCTTCTATGAAACACTTTGGATTTACCAATGTCAATATAAAAAAGAAAATGGAGTAAATTGCTCACAGCTACTAATTCCCAAAATGTGTAGGACAGAATTTTGCTCTAATTTTCTCTAATCCTCAGAAAGTAAGAAATAGAGAAACTTACAAACAGTAACACAACTATGTCTCCATAGCCCAGTTTGACAACTGAATAGTCATGTTTCCAAGTGACTTTCTGAAATTAGTAGACTTTTTAAAAAGAACAGTTTTAGGGTTACAAAAAAATTGAGCAGAGAATAGAATACTGAGTTCCCATTTACTATTGCACTGTCCTCTAGTTTTTCCCATTTTTAACATTTTACATTAGTATGGTATTTAGTTGGAATTAGTGAACCAATATTGATATATTTTTATGAACCTCACAGTTTACTGAAATTTCCTTTTTAAAATTGTATTTATATAAAGAACAAATTTTATGCATCTCATATATACAATTTTAACAGGATAAAACTTCCCACCCTACCCTCCATCTCTCCCTTCCACCCTCCCTCCTTTCCTTTCTTATTATTTTTTTGTTTTTTTTTAATAGTTATTTTAGGTTTAATTTATTTTTAAAAAAATTTATTTAAGTTATACAAATTTCATATGTTTTTATATACAGATTTAAGAACATAGTGACACTTCTTCCTGAACCTCCCTCCTGCCTATACTCCAACCTTCCCCCTGCCCTGCATTCCCACTCTTAATTTTTACAATGATCTATTTTTAGTATACTTAATGATTATATAGTTAACCCTACTCTAAGTAAAAGACTTCAACAAATAGCATGGAGTAAAAGAAAACACTGTTCCTCAACAGAAGTGACAAAGGTCATAAACAATCATTGAATCTCAAAATATGTATTTCATTTCAATATATTACATTTCAGGTACCCTACTGCCTCAGGTCAGGGAAAATATAAGATATCTTTCTTTTTGGGACTGGCTTATTTCACTAAGTATAATGGTTTCTAATTGTGTTCATCTTGTTGAAAAAGATAGGATTTCATTTTTTTTTACAGCTGAGTAGTACTCCATAGTGTATATGTACCATAATTTCTTACCCAGTCAATGGTTGATGGACATCTGGGTTGATTCCATATCTTTGCTATTGTGAATTGTGCTGCAGTGAACACAGGGGGAACAGATATCTTTTTCATGTGCTGCTTTATTTTGGTTTGGGTAAATTCCCAGGAGTGAGACATCTGGATTATATGATAAGTCTATATTCATATTTCCAAGGTATCTCCATATTATCTTCAGCAGTGGCTGCACCAGTTTACATTCCTACCAACAGTGGACCAGGGTACCTGCTCTGCCACATCCTCGCCAGCATCTGTTATTTGTTGATTTCTATATGAGAGCCATTCTAACTGGAGTGAGGTGAAACCTCATTGTGGTTTTGGTTTGCATTTCCCTGATGGCTAGTAATCCTGAGCATTTTTTTCATGTTTGTTGGCCATTTGAATTTGAATTTCCTCTCTTGAAAAATGCCTGTTAAGTACTGTGCCCATTTTTTCACTGAATTGTTTATACTGTTGGTGCTGAATTTCTTGAGCTCTTTATAGATTCTTTATCAGCTCCATAATTTACAAATATTTTCTCCCATTTTGTTGGTTGCCTCTTCACTTTGCTGATTGTTACTTTTGCAGGCAGAAACTTTTCAGCTCAATGTAATCCCATTTGCCAATTTTGGCTTCGATTTTCTGTACTTCTGGGGTCTTTTCCAAGAAATCTTTACCTATGCCAAGGTTTTGCAGAGTTTCTCCACTGTTCTCTATTAATTTGATGGTATTGGGTCATAGATTTAGGTCTTTGCTCTATTTTGAGTGGATATTTACATAAGGTGTAAGGTAGCAGTCTAGTTTCATACTTCTGCATTTGGATATCCAGTTTTCCCAGCACTATTTAGTGAAGAAAATTTCTTGCTCCAGGGATTAACTCTAGTTCTTTTGTCAAAGATAAGTTGGTTGTAAATGCATGGATTGATTTCTGGAGTTTTTATTCTGTTCCTTTGATCTACAAGTCTGTTTATGTGCCAGTATCAGGCTGTTTTGATTATAACTGCCCTGTTTGTGTCTTGAAATCAGGTATTGTGATGCCTCTGGGTTTGTTTTTGTGTATAAGATTGCTTTAACTATTTGGGGTCCCATGTATTTACATATGAATTTCAGCATACTTTTCTCTATATCTGCAAAAAATGTCATTGGTATTTTGATTGGGATCACATTTAATCTGTAAATTGCTTTTGGTAGTATGGACATTTTGATGAAGTTTATTCTTCCAATCATTGAACATGGTAGATTTTCCCATTTTTAAATGTCTTATTCTATGTATTTTTGGTGTTTTATAATTTTCATTTATTCCAAGGTATTTGATTCTTTTTGTAGCTATTATTAATGGGATCGATCTTAGAAGTTCTTTTTTCAGCTGTGGCATCATCTGTGTATGCAAAGGCTGTTGATTTTTGTGTATTGATTTTTTATCCTGCTGCTTTCCCAAACTCTTCGAGTTCTAATAGTATCTCAGTGGATTCTTTTGGATACCCTATATATATATAGAATCATTTCATCTGCAAATAGGGATAGTTAGACTTCCTCTTTCCCAATTTTTTTCCTTTTGATTTTTATTTTTTTTTTTTTTTTGCCTAATGGCTCTGGTTAAAACTTCCAGGGATATTCTGAATAGCAGTGGTGACAATGGGCATCCTTGTCTGGTTCCGGATCTTAGTGGGAATGCTTCCAACTTTTCCCCATTCAGTAGGAGGCTGGCCATGGGCTCGTCATAAATTGCCTTGATTGTGTTGAGGAATGTTCCTTCTATACCCAATTTGCTTAGAGTTTTCATCAAGAAAGGGTGTTGTGTTGTATTTTATCAAATGCTTTCTCTGCATCTATTGAGATAATCATGTGGTTTTTGTTCTTCAGTTTGTTAATGTGATGTATCACATTGATTGATCTGTGAACAACGAACCATCCCTGAATAGAAGGGATGATTCCCACTTGCTTTGGGTGAACAATTTTTCTGATGTGTTGTTAGATTCTATTGGCTAGAATTTTGTTGAAGATTTTTGCATCTATATTCATCAGGGAAATTGGTCTGTAATTCTCTTTCTCTGATGCATCTTTTTTAGGTTTAGGAATTAAGGTGATGCTGGCTTCATAGAAAGAATTTGGGAGGATTCTCTTCCTTTCAATTGTTTTGAGTAACTTGTGAAGAATTGGAGTTAGTTCTTCTTTAAATGTCTGGTAGAATTCAGTAGTGAAGCCATCTGGTTCTGGGCTTTTCTTTATTGGGAGGGTCTTTATTACTGATTCAATTTCACCTTGGTTATGGGTCTGGTTAGGTTTTCAATGCCTCTATGGCTCAATTCATGCAGGCTGTATGTTTCCAGGATTCTATCCATTTCTTCTAGATGTCCCAGTTTGTTGGCATACAGCTCTTTGTAGTAATTTCTGATGATTCTTTTTATTTCTGTCGTGTCCGTTGTTACATTTCCTTTTTAATCTCTAATTTTATTGATGTGAGTCTTCTCTTTTTTTTTTTTGCTTAGTTGGGCCAATGGTGTGTCACTTTTGTTTTTCAAAAAATCAGCTATTCATTTTGCTGATTTTTTGTATGTTTTTTGGAATCAATTTTGTTGATTTTTTCTCTAATTTTAATTATTTTCTCCTACTAGTTTTGGGTTTGGTTTCTGTTATTTTTCTATATCCTTGAGATTCCCTGATAGCTCATTTATTTGGTGCCCTTCCAATGTCTTGATATAGGCAACAATTGCTATAAACTTTCCTCTTATCACTGATTTTGCTGTACCCCATAAGTTTTTTTTTTTTTTTTTGACAGGCAGAGTGGACAGTCAGAGAGAGAGATAGAGAGAAAGGTTTTCCTTTTTTTGGCTAGGTGCTGGGCATGGATACAAGCTGGCACAGCTGTTATGTATGTCCAAAATGGCACCCACTCTATCAGGTTGTTACAGCATGCCATTGTTAGGTGACTGGGGAGAGAGAAATGTGTCCCTCCTTTTTTTTTCTCCTCTAGTTTGGCAGGCACACTATCCTCCACAGGGCCCTAAGCTGGGTTCCCTCTAGGCTCTTCGTACAATTTTATCACCAGTGGTTTGGGCTGCTACAGTCCAGTCTCATCTCACTCTCCAATGCTGGTGTATAGGCTCTTGGCTTCTGGGGTCCTGAGTTGTGAGAATCCATGCCCTTCATGTAGGTCCACTGTGTCCCTTACATAGAGTTTCTTCTGCCATTTTCTCCCTAACTCTTCCCTGAGATTGCACTCTCTCAACTTTTTTAAAACTATCTTCTCCTAGACTAGAGCAGAAGCTCCCTATCTACTCCGCCATCTTGAAAGCTCTCTTTGGTTTCTTTGAATCTGCTGAGATGTGTTTATGGCCTAGCATATGGTCTATCCTAGAGAAAATTCCATGCACTGATGAGAAGAATATGTATACTGCCACTGTGAGGTGAAAAGTTCTGTATATATCCATTAGATCCATTTGGTCTATACTGTTGATTAACTCTGTTGTTTCCTTGCTGATTTTCTGTCTCGTTTATCTGTCCATTGATGAAAGTGGGGTATTGAAGTTCCACGTTACTATTGTATTGCAGTATATGTCTCCCTTTAGATCCATTAACATTTCTTTTAAATAGCCATGCACTCTGTAATTTGGTGTATATACATTTATTATAGTTAGATCTTCCTGTTGAATTGATCCCTGAATCATTACATAATGCCCTTCTTTGTCTCTTTGAACAGTTTTTGTGTTAAAGTCTATTTTGTCTGACATTAGGATGGTAACACCAGCTCTTTTTTGGTTTCTGTTAGCATGGAATATCTTTTCTATCCTTTCACTTTCATTCTGCATGCATTTTTATTTGTGAAATGTGTTTCTTGTAGGCAGCAAACAGATGGGATTTGTTTTATAATCCATTCAGCCAATCTGTCTTTTAATTGGAGAGTTGAGGCCATTTACATTCAAGGTTAATATTGACACGTCAAGACTTGTCCCTGCCATTTTTCCATAAATATATCTATTAATTACTTAGGTTGGGGCTTCAAGAAATTCTCAGAATTCAATGAACTATACACACTTAGTATAGCACACTGTTAAAAGTGATAGCAAAAGTTGCATGACAAGTGATTCATCAAACTTGGCAACCAGCTTTTGTTTAACAAAAGCTAAAAGAAGATAATGGTGATGGTTAATAACAAAATGTTAGGCTTGGTGACAACCCTAGGGAGAATATAGAATTAAGTGCTCATTTTCCAGGAAAGAAAATAGTGCTCCTAAAAGGCTCAGTGATAGGCTGGGACCCATGCAGCCAGGCTCTCGGGGAAGAGCAGTGCTATAACTTAGGATTTCTAATCCAAACCCTACCTTCCTACTTCATATACACACATTTATATACATTCTTGTAAGCATTCTTCATATAAGAATCCCAAATAGGAACTTAACTCACCAACAGA